TCTTGCAATTGTAGCCGTGTTTCGAATAAGCTGCAGCAGCCAGTTATATCTCCATTCGCAATCGAAGCGATGTAATTCGTGCAAGGCAATCACATTTTAATAATGTGCTTTTAGGGATACGACGGCATACGTCGAGATCGATTCCAAAATGGAAGACCAGGTGTGTTCTCATTGTTTCGGATTGATTCAGACGAAATCCACGCAGTTATGGTACGCTAATTTAATCATATTATAGCTAACACCACAGAGCCAAAGTCCTCTTCAAAACAAAAACGATTCGAGTCTTGTGTCCACAGCAATAATTAAGGGTGTCTGTAGTCGCACTGAGTAGAACCACGTAGAGTGGAGCACCGTACGGACGAACTAACGTCACGAAGAGCCAAATTCTGTATTTTTATGGTGGTAATCCATCCTCCTTCAGTCGGAATAATATGAACTATCGTCAGGCAAAGCACTATGTTTATCACTGTTTCTTACTGAAGCTTGGCATGAATAGACAATGTCTTGATTTCTTGATATTACTGGCTTACGTAACTTCATTGCTATGATTCTTCAATCCTCTCAAATTGACTCGGTGCTACAAAAGCGCACGTCACTGCTCTGGACACTTAATTAATCAGGACTGCGAAGAAGGCGATGACGCCGATGTGTTGGCAGAAACAAAGATTTGTTACAACCTCGTGAAGCTTGACAGTGAGACCAAGGAATTTGTTATCCATGCTGAAGTTTAATGGAGATCACTACCACAACTCCAATGATTAAGTCCAACTTCAGACATGGATAAAGCAAGCCTTTGACAGAATGTCACAATTAGTGATGTATCATTGCAATGAGTACGACCAGTGTGACAACAAGATGAGTTTACTGTTGGAAGTAGTTATAAATGCTACTTCTTCGCTCTTAACGCATCGTGTAAAAAATGAAATCTGAAGCTCTTGGCGCTGATCACACCCTGAGAGATGCTGCAATGCATTCTATATCACTAAACATCGGTGGAGGTGATTAGACTCATATCTGGTCTTCACAACTCATATCAGGTTTTCACAATGACTCGCAGTGGCCTACCTATGTATCAAGCCAGTGCTGATTTCCTCTCAGAGAAGTCTGGTACCAATTTTGCTACATCGGTGGCATAAAAGGCTTGGTGAGCCAGAGACATCTGGATTGATCCCATGGTGTATTGTACTCCCACCACTGCGCTGCACGCGTACTAATGCTGGTTTTGCCTTCAAAACTTCATTCTTTTTTACATCGATAGGATATTAGGTCATTATACATAAATTATACACATACATACATATACACATTATACACATACATACATATACACTTTATACACATTATAGACACATACACATACATTATACAAGTAATGGGACAAGTGTTGTGCTTGAACCTTCTGCTTCATAAGAAGTATTCCTCAGTTGTCCATTTCATACATTAAACACTCATAGGCTTGTAGCTCTGAGACAGATATGGGATTGGTCTTATTGGGTCCAAGACTTCCATCGCTAAGTCGATTTTGTTGGTCAGCTCAACTTGCTTATTTCTCATTTTTGGATGTTGTGAGAAGCGCTGTGGTGCATATCAAAAATTAACGATTGGTAAAGATTTTTCGACTGAATGAAGCGCATTGAGGTAGATGCGTGGTGAGGTTGGAGACAGGTTTCTTGTTCAGTTTCTGATTCGAAGCTTGTTAATTCTTAGTAACTGGCAGCACGTTCTTCAGTGCCATAAGTGCGGCGCGATGGCGATGGCTTCCACCCGTCGGTTCAGTCAGCGTCTGATTGGAAAGGTATGCTGATATTATTTTGTACTTTTAGCGTAACATTTTTCATGTAAGCACATTACTGGTAATTTGTTCATTTTTCTCCTTCAAATTTAGAGAGTTCGCTATCGCGAGAGCTCTGAAACGATACTATCGCCCGAACGAGGAAGAAGCCCTGGGGAACAAACTCTTCGGAGTTTTACTGCGGTAGTCATCATTTCCGTATTTTCTTGAAAACGATATTGCGCAGTAGTCTCATAATCCATAAAGCAATAACAGGTTCATCTAAATTCGGCGGTTTTTCATCACAACAAGTTCAGTTCAATACAAGATGGTCGGTGGCACAATGTCGAAGATTTCACAGCAAGCGATATTTTTGCTGAAATGAACTCCGTTGTCAATTTTTCGATAAGTAATTCTCGTTTGCAAAGAAATGCGTAGTGTGAATTTGAGTCTTACCACATACTGAAATACCTACTCAACTACTTGGACGGGCCGACTTCACGAATTGTGTATACCCCAGCTCAGTTTCTATTCGCTTCCTTCCTTCACAGTGGTCATCCTTGGTGTCTGTTTGACTCGAAAATGGTGGCAAGTGTGAGTCTTGTACCGTGTTCTGTAAAACGCCTGCGGCTGTTAATACGGCAGATTGATAGTTAATTACGAACAGGTCTGCCCAAGTTGTAGGTGGTCGTCCTGGGAGACTTCTGTGTCCTCAAGGAGTTCACCTTACAGTTCGTGCCGTCCATCTGGCGCATGCTTCTGCCATTATACAACCGGATTCTCTTTGTTTCGCTACAGATGTGTGTTCGTTTAGGTCTCTAAGATGACACTTGCTGCATAACAGGATGTTAGGCCGGCCGATGACTAGAAAAGGTGAGCGCGGATTTTCGGGTCGTAGTTGGACGGTGGCTTCTTCTAGAGGTCCAAATGCGGCTCGGTTGCTTTCCTTCTTCCGTCTAATTCCTCCTTCACGTCGTTATCCATGTTCATTGGACGCCTAAATTGCACACACTAGGCCGCCTCTACAATCAGGGAGGCATCAAGTGTGAGCTCTTCGTTTTGGTCCGATGGGTTTTTTTTCTCTATAAAGTGGATGAATATGGTGAGTGGTCGTTGGAAAAGCTGTGTTTTCGTGGAACAGTTTAGATAACAATAAGATGGGATTCGTTGTGGGACCTGTTCACTTCTTGGTCGACGGGTGCTAACAGTATGGCAGTCGTTTCGACGTGTCAGATGGCTTTCATTAGTCGCTTAAAGTCAAGATTAGTTGCAGATGTAATTTCCAACAAACTCCTATGACGCAGGTTGCTACGACCCTTCTCTGTTACCACCGAAATTATCGCTGCAATGCTTACAATTGGCTTTCCACTTTTGTCAATGTGTGGAAGTTATTTCCCAAAGTTAGGTTGATTTAATCTTATTCGTGGAGTTATTTATAACAGAAGATAGGGAAAAACGCAGACTAACCTTGATATGAAATGAGTAAGCGGTTTAAATTACTATCAACTTGTGTTTGTTGCGGCTTTTGTTCGTGTTGAACTTTGCAAGTTATGTCTCACTGGAAAAAGTAATTCGTTGAGTTCGTTCATTCCTGGATCAGATTTTTTTTTAGGAGCGGCGTCCTATTACGCGTTCTCTGTTGTGCTTACGGGAACTATCTTTTGATGCGTTAGTTCCCACACCGCCACGTCGTAAGCGGGCTCCAAACAACCAACAAACTTCAGCTGTCATCTCGTCGGCACAGGTCGGTGGATATTTGTTTTGATAGATTATTCCAGAATTTCTGTTGATATAGTTCGCCAATAGCTCAAAAGGGCGCGTGTGGTGCAGTGGTTGGAGGCGCCACTGCGGCGTATATGTGGAATCGATCCCCGCGCCCATGGCCGACCAAGCGTTCGATCTCTCCGGGGTCGACAAATTGGTACCAGAATTGTCTAGGAGGGTAGCAGCACTGGCTCGATACATCGGTAGGCCACCGTGAGTCATTGTAAAGGCCAGATTTGTATTCAATCATCTCCAACGACACATAATGAAGTCGACTGCGTGGCGCATCTCTCAGGAATTGATCAACACCGAGAGCTTTATGCTTTATCCTTTAGCTCACCGAAACCTACGAGGAACTTTGAAATTTGGCACAGATGTTTCGGCGATGTCATCGTCATTTATATGATCTGCATATTTTTAAGAGCGAAACAAAGAAATGAAAGATTTCGTCATCTCGCGAATGCTCACCATCCGAATAGAATTATTTTGGCACCTCTTTCACCTCTGTTATTTTGTATGTACACCTGCAATTAGTAAAACAAATGTCATTATTAGTTTCAGCGAAACCATAACGTGGCAGTAACGGCCGAAACTGCGGTCCCTACAGGTGAGCATTTCATTGTCCTCTTCGTCCTTCTTTTTTTTTCTCGAACCGATCTTCCTTTCAACTGTTTCGTGTCTATGTGGTTCCCACTCACCGGCGTCTCGATCATGCAGAGCGAATAAGTGATTTCTTAAAGCCATTGATCGCATTGCGTTTATTCTGTTCAAAAGGTGCCGTACATGTGTGAATAATATTGGAAGAAGTCTTTAGTACAAACGTGAAACAGCATAGAACATCTCAGGCGTTGGATTTGTTAAATGAATTGCAAGAGCGATTTGTTTGAAGCCTCCACCTAACGTTTAGTAAAGGCTGCAATACTTCTTCTTTTGTTATGGAGTCTTCATATCATAGGACATTTATACAAAGTACCGAGTGCCTCAGGAAGACTCTTGGAGCGTCTAGGATAACTGAATCATTAAATTTCACTTCTTCATCGAATCCCTAAACGTATCTTTTTCCTATTCCAATGCTTATAATCACTGGAATGCTAAAAATCAGCGCTACGTAGGTTGTAATTATATTCCATATCCGTTAAAAATAGTCCAACTATTTGATGTTTAGTCTATTGACGGCTTGTTACACTTTTTCCTTGCCAACATGTTTGCTAGTTCTTGTACCAAATTATTTTCAAGCAAAGTTATTTTATGCTTTCAGAGGTGCGGCTTTGTTCCCGTGAAGAAGTCCTCGAATCGAGGGTATGTGTTTATTACAATAGTTAGGCCGTTTTGTCTTCGTTTCACTGATCGCTACAGATAGCTGACTTCTGCTTTCGAAATTCCTCTGAACCATTAAGAAAATTTGACAGTGATTGGTGACAATACGTGGTCTTAAATGTAACAATTTGCTTACCTTTCATAGAATATGACCATCGAAGGCAAATTCCTCAGCTCAATTCTCAAGGCGTATGAGTATCTGAAGCGCCTGCGAAGGCCTTACACTGCGGAAATGTTCCACAGTGTCGTCCGCGACGCGTTTCCGAGTGGTACACCGAGGGAGTTGAAGCTTGGGTTCAAGTAAGTGCATACTTCAGCCATAACAATTTCCTAGGATTTATAGAAGTTGGTAGATTGTAGAATGATACATATTCATGATAGATTTCATCAGTTATTGGAGGTTATTGGAATAATTCGTTGCAGTGTGGCCTCGTATGAAGTTCGTTAACTTCTTCTTACCATTATTCCTTGCAGACAGCTCTACCACCACGTGCTGTGTCGCGAAGGGGTTCTGGTCTTCAGAGAAAACCATGGTATAGACATATATTATCCGCGTTCGCCTGTTCGACGAGAGGACGACTCCCGTGCAGACTATGGTGCGCCATAAGCAAGCGTTGCCCTTGGCTTTCATTTCTTATGAAGGGTGTTTGGGTTTTTCACGACGAGTTTTTGTTGTTAAATTTGGTCTTTCCAATCTGCTCCGACTTTGCTGGTCGATAGTCTATGTACCCGCAGAAATAGGAGCTTAAATATTTCGTGTGGAAAAATGCCCCTCATGTTACGGTTCTAGTCCATTGATTTTTTAAAATCGTTTCAAAGTTTTATTAGAATTATTTGAGTGATGTTAAAGATTTGTTAAAAATTTCATTAATAAAAATTCTTCATTTTCGTTTGAAATACACTTCAGATTGAACCTAGACAATTCAGCGCACAAGGGAGACTTATTTATAACAGTTGCATAAAATTTTGCGCATCAGGGGACAACAAAGTCGCTGAAGTCGCTGAAGGCAGTTTCGGCATTGGCACCATTTCCGAATGAATTCTTGAAGAGGAAGTTGCGGCCATTATTGAAGAACTGATAACCGGTGGGCGAGACATTTGGCCAGTATGGCGGATAACGCAGGGTTTTGTAGCCCCGTTCATTCAACTTCTGCCGTATCTGTAGAGCCACGTGTGGCCTCGCGTTATCCTGGAGAATCATTGGTGGCTTTGCGTTGATCAGTGAGGTGTGCAACCGTTGAAGAGTCTGTAGCATATCGTCCACTTGCAGGACCAAGAAGATATAATGAATTAAACCAGAAACAAAGGAGAAAACGAACTGTAAGGCCTGCCTTCTTTTGGTGCAATTTCGTCTAGGTGAATTGCTGTGGAGCTTCGTCGTGGTCCAAGCACTGGACTAATCGTGTTCGGTTAGCGTAGAGGATTCATTTTTCCGTTTTCCTCTCTTCACGATAGGGTAGAAGAGCTGTTCGCTCTGGCTGTGTACAATCGCCAAATATACCTCAAAAAAGGATATTTCTTTCATTGTTATTCAATTCGTGCGAGATGCGTTTGTCGAGCTTCTTCGACTTTCGATTTTTCTTTAGATGTTTCGACACAATCAACATGCTCGCACTGAGTTCCTTGCTCCGACTGTGCTGCAGTTCTTCTCCCGAAACACTTAGTGTTGCAACGCTTTTACTATGACTAGTCCTTATGTTTTATATTCTGGATTTTGCACCTTAGCGCAAATGGACATGAGGAATCGTTAGACGTGATTGGATGCATAATTGCCCTTTGCTATGACTCGTGATGGCCTTCATGGTGGCCTATCAGTGTATCCGGCCTACTATGCTTCCAGACAAACCTGGTACCAATTTGCCGACCAAGGAGGGAGGAATGGAAAGCTTTGTGAGCAATGGGAGAGGGGAACGATCCCATGTGTGCGATGCAGGGCGCCTCCGATCGCTGCGCCATACACGTTATGAAATAAACTACAAACCTAGGAAATAAACACAATATACATAAAAAATGATAAATCATCAATTTGAGAAAAAGTGAAACCAGGATTCAATTAAATACAATAAATTCTTTAAGGATTTCACAGAGACGAATCAACTTGAAAATTATTGAGCATAAAACGACCAGTACAATTGGGTTGCAAAAACAATAAGGAAGAACGGCTTTGTACATTTAGAGGATTTAACAGTTATAAAAACGTGACTATCCGATCTGAGAAATGTCGTATTCGTAGTTGGGAGTACCTGCCGCAAAACTGTTGGCGTAGGCTTTGTGCTCATAGAGCGGATGCATAGCGAAGTTCACTTAGATACTCACATGTTTGCGAATACTTTATAGCATATGTACTGAATTCCCTCATTCGTTGGGAGCTTAATCGTGACGGGAGTGTTCCTGGCAAACCAGTCGCAATTTACAGGACAGCGTTTATCGCCGGTTTTCCCTAGCTCAGAACGAGTTATAAAATTCCATCCGGAAGTCCATCTGGTAAACCAGCTATACGGATCACAGTCGTCTTGGCAACAATGCAGTAACAAGTTGGCAAGCGGGGTTGGGACAGCGCTAGCGTGGTTTGAAAACCCTCAGGCGTACTATGGTCTACGTGATTCCTCAAGATTCGTAAGGAAATCGATAAGACGCAGCATTAAAAGCAATTTTCAGGCGTTGTAAAGCCGACATTAAAAAGGACCCGCCGAAAATTTCAGATCGAGGAAATTTTCCCACCTAAACTGAGTGTAAGGAGGGAGTGTGGGAAGCTGTGGACGTTCGAGAAATGGCCAAAGCATATAATCGCGAAGTTAGGCGTATGACCTTAAACACCAGCGGTAATCAAGAGTAAAACCGTCCAAAGCCTCAGCATCTACCTCCCCAGATTTAACTTAATAAAACCTTTCTACAATAAAACTTCCAATTTGAATCGTAAAAGGTCGATTAGATTAGGCACAGGTAGTATATTAAGAGGCGGAATAAAGATTTAACTGTCATATTATTTACAGCCACCATGGCCAATAGATTTCTGATAGAAAGATTCGTAACACAGCACATAACGTTGCTACAAACGCCTTGTCGTCCAGAAGAAATTCGCTTATGAACGGATTTCGGAAGGAAAATAACTGAGATAACAGTAACCCATGATGGAAGAAATACGGTCTAATGTCTCTTAGGAAGGCAATGCGTACTCATGCTTTTCACAGGATCAATGGACAGACACTTTCGGTAGTCTCACTACGCCTTCATGAGTTCAGTCAGATCTTGGCAACTTACATATAAATAACTACGGAACACCATAAAAGTTGTCCACAAGTAATGCCTCAGCCCCTCGAAGACCTTTGTCCACTGAGCTGTCTGTTTTTCCTTGTGAAGCTGGCGCCTTCGAGTCGAATAGATCGAAAATCACATTCATCAACTATAAAACTGAAATCACTGCTTTTCCATCAAATGACTTAAGAACGATTGCAGACACAAAACACAGGACTTTTCTTTACCCAACTAAACATATTATAGTGATCGGTTATCAAGAAAACTATTGAGGAACCGAAAAGTGGAAGGAAAGGGAAAATGGTTCACTGGAGAAAGACGTTCAGCCAAAACTTTCTGGCCCCTTAAGCAAATGAATATCGACCTACTATTACATGAGAAATACATGAGAAACGAGAGGTCGCGATTGGATATTTTTTAAGAGCACGAGATTCTGTACGTTTGAGCAGTAGGGATTTGTGAGCGGTCAGCAACGAAACATTTCAGTATCAATGATCAACGAACTACAACCTACTTGGATACTTGGATGGCCCCTCTGCACTACATGTGCGGGCCCCAGCACAATTTCCATTCTCCGGAGATTTGATGGTTTAGCCGTTATGGTTCTTTGGAGTCCTGAGCACAGCGTGACCAAAGTCTGCCCAGGTCGTCACCATCACAGGCACTCTCAGCCCTTGTACATCAGAGGGAGATTTTTCACCACGCCACTAGTTTGATAAGAGAACGGTGACGGATGCTGGTATTGGTTTACTCTTAGCTAGACTTTCTGAAAGAAACGCCGATGCCTTTTTCAGCTTGAGAGGCCCTGCCGCAAGGGTGAGTCCCTCAGCTGTACATCAGCGCCCCACACCCAGGAACACCTCGCAGCCACGATGAAGCGTAAACTGTTGGGATGCAACGCATTGTAAAGCGTAGCCAAAATCATAAGAACACTTCCGCCGTCAGGGTCTACTTGATATAATCATTTACATGACTAGCAAAGAAATCCGGCAAAATCTCGCATGTTTTCGACTAATATCGCAGGGTTCGTTGCTGAACATTATGATAGTCAGTCGGCCAGATGTGGCGCCTGTGGAAAGCATAACTCTGATTTTAGTGGGCCTGCAACACTGCAGAAGTGGACCTTCGTTTCCAGTAAAATGACCCGACATCTAGAAACAAATTTCCAAAATTGCCGTAAGTGACTAGTCAATTGTGCGGAATGATCGCGCCTAACCGTGCCTTGGTTCGATACCACTCTGGGCCCACCATGTTGCTCATCCTTTGTGATCAGCGGATTGCTATCAGTCCTGTCTGTCTTATGCTCGAACCCTCTAACACGGCCATAGCTGGACTCCAAGTAGAATAGATTCGACCAGTGTTCAACGGCGCTCGCAATGAGGACGAAGGATTTATTAAACATTAGCCGTGCCCACATGCAAAAAAGTTCGAAGACGTTTGTTGATGGTGGATGTGAGGGAACGAGTCGAATGCAAGAAGTGGTAGGATCCGCACCGTAGATTTGAACACGGGTCATAACAACAAATAAGTCACCACGGGTATTGTGACTTTGGATTAACTATTTCAAAGTCCTCAGATGAACTGCTTTCTATGAACATCGGTATAAATAAACGATATACGTAGTTATATTCTTACGAGCTCCTCTTGTTGAGCTGTCGTTGTTGTTGTTGTGATTCGATGGACGACGTTTCGGCGACTTCGCCTTCTTCAGAGCCATTTTGTTAGGTTTGGTAGCACCAACAAGTGGGATGATCAACAACAGCAACTGATATCGAATTGGCGTTAGGTCGGCAGAGGGAATTCATGAGGATATTTCAAAATCGACTATTCCGACACTTACCGTCGACATGTCCATCAACGCGTTTTCGACGGCGAGGTTGGCGACCCGCGTCAGAAATTGCATACATAAGGCTGCAGACGTTGAACAATTGCCGTTGGCAGCTGGCATCTACCTGAAAAACTGCTCCTGTACACTCACAATCTGACGCAGAAATACAGTCGATGCCTGAGAAACCTCACATATTGCACGATACAAAATTACGAAGTTACAGACGAAGAGGTGCACAATACTTGAAAGCAACTAAGCCTGTTGGAAAAGAAGAACTCGTTCAATCAAACAGAAGCTAAGACGACCACGCATGGAAATGTGGCACTGTGAACTTAACATTGATACTTACTTGATACTTGAACCGTTCTTCCTCAGTGGTTGTGCAGGCTCCAACATAATCACCATTATTCGGAAATTTGCTGGTTAAGCCACCGTGGTTCCCTGGAATCCCGAGGTCAGCCTTGCCAAAGTCTGCCCCAGGTCTTCACCACCGTGGGCAGCCGCAGCCCTTGTGGATCAGAGGGGGATTTTCTACCATGCTACTTTGACACCAGACGGTGGCAGATTTTGGTATTGGTATTGGTTTGCTCTTAACTAGACATCCTGATGGAAACGACGGACTCCTCAGCTTGGAGACCCTGCCAGGGAGACGAATCCACCCGCTGTACATCGCAGTCCGACGCCCAGGCACACCTCCCAGCCACGATGGGGCAGTAACCCGTTGGGAGGGAACGTAACGTTAAGTGCGAAAAAGCTCTATGCGGCAAGGTTCTCTGTAGAAAATGACCTTTGTTGTTATCATTACTAACAGCAGGAGCGGACAGCGCAGTGGTAGTGATATTGTTCGTGACGAACACGGTTCTGGCTCGAATCCACAGCTGGTTCACCAAGGCGCTCATCCTTCTTCGAGCAGAATATTAATACCAAACTTAGAAAAAGGACCGAAAACTAGCTGAGATACGCAAAACGATGTACCTGCATGATGTGGTGTTGAACGCTTTAGCCCCCGGAAAGGGTAATTGCGCGTTCGTTCCCCACTGGAGATGTCTGCGGTCCGGAGTTTTCCTAGTATCTCAGAATCATTTTCACACCAGACGTGTTTGGACTATTTCAGTCATTCTAAATCACGTAGAAATTTTTTAGCACGGAAATCCCAGGGCTGCAAGGCTAAGTTATTCGACGGTCTCGAGAACACCAAAAATCCTCAATCAGCAGCTTAAGCGACACGCAAAAATAGAAGGCCATTGTGGAGTACGGGTTCAAATAAGCTTATGCAGTGCAAGAAATGTTGAGATCCAAGCAGTAGATGTGAAGATGCTTCTTGTAAAATAATAATAGCAGCAAAAACAATAAATTATATTAATAAGTAAAGATGAATAATAAGTAATCATAGCGTTAGTGCCAATGGCTACACGTTAACCGTTACAATTTTTACGTTGTGCTGAGAAAACAAGACTAAGTTGGATAACGAAAGATTCTTCTCAACTAAAGGACTACCTTAAATCTCAAGCACTGTGAAAAGCTTCTTAATTACAGTTAGCATAAGGTGTCCTAAGCGGGCTCTTCAACAACTGACAATAATCCCATGATTATTTGAGTGATTGAAGAGTTCTCAGGACTCACAGGTTCACAGGTTTATAGAAGAGATTTCGTTCCAACAGCTTTGTTGTGTAAGTAATTTTTGTATGCCATTCTTCTGACTTTAAATAGATTTTGGATTGCGATTTCCAGGAAACTGAGAATGAAGACAATTTTTGAAATTTCCAGTGCGCGGTGTGCAACCACAAACAATAATAATGCTTGGAGTAAACATCGTGGCCAGCTAGACAAAGTCCCGCTTATTCATCAGCTTTCATTTTTGAAATATGATCCATGAGGGGGAGAAAGAAAGTGAAAGGAGTATAGATCATGTGTTCAAGAGGATAAGAATTTCAGAGGGAGAGAAAGAAAGTGAAAGGAGTATGGATCATGTGTTCAAGAAGATAAGAATTTCAGAGGGAGAGAAAGAAAGTGAAAGGAGTATGGATCATGTGTTCAAGAAGATAAGAATTTCACCCTGGTAGAAAGAATAACTTTTATCTTGTTGGTAAAGATAAGTATACTCTAGTGGCTTTCACATTTTCCGATAGATATTTACCATATTTATTCAGCCACCTGAGATAGTTACCAATAGAGACTAGAATGCGCCCAGATATGTTGGTTTAAAGTCGCATGCGGCCATTATTTTCGCATCGGACGTATTGTACTCACTGCAAATTGGGCGTTAAATGTTATTGGGACAAACAGCAGTATAAAGAGATGATTACTGGAATATCATGGCTACCTGCTTGTTCGTTGCTTCTCCTCCAATTAAGCTCAGAATCAAAATAGCTTAAAGCCGAAATGGCCAGTAAACAAAACTGTCTAGAGAAATTATAACATCTGTGAGATGCGAAAACGGAACGAAAATAAAAGGATCATCACAGAGTGAGTGGAAACTGTGAACTAATAGAGAGTAACACAACCGTGAATACAGAGCATTTCTAGATCCTCGTTTCGAGTCTCATCAGTTTGGCTAAAATCTTTGCAACACTGCTGGAATGCATGTATATATGTATAAAAATATGCACAGGTTTATTTATACGCGATACGCACTTAGGCCACTGTAGGCGGGCGTGCTTGGCGGGAATCCAGTCTTCGACCGGAAAACGAGTCCGGAAGCCGCCCAAGTTCTGCTCACATTGGGATGGGACGCCTTTTTGTCGCTCACACGTGAAAACGGAGTGCCGTACTGTTGGCAGAGAGGGTTTTTCCGCTTTCCGCGAGACTACTGGCCGGTCTGTCTGACTGGCCTGGCTGAAGGCAAAGCATCTGACCGACCAGTCGGCTCGAAGAGAGTGCTTCGGAGAAAAAACAACGTGATGAATAGTGGCGATCTAAGGACGGCCACACAGTCGTTCACTACCAGTTCGACAAAACTAGTGTCATACTTCGCAAACAATCAGCTACCTATCGTCAAATAGTTATCGCAAGTCGACTAAACAACTGTCCGCATCTCAGATAGATTTTATTCAACGCCGTTCTAAGATGTTTCCAGCTTTGGGCGAATGACGATCTATATTTTGAATGACTCAGTATAACCGCATAAATCAATAAAGCTGGTTGTTAAATCATTGAAAAAATTGTTAAAAATTGTCTAAAATTTTTGAAGGCACACCTGGTCATAACAAGTTTGGATATTTCAACCATACCCACCCGTTTAAAAAGTTCGTAATAAAAAGGAACATTAAGCTTTCATGTGCGTTGTGTGCGGTTGGTCTCCACTTGACATATTCAGTCAAGAACTCATAGAAAGCGCTGAGTCTGTAAAGAAGCTATTCTGTGCTCAAGATGATTGAAATCTTGGTTCAGCATTTCCTCTGTTTGGTTAGAGGTGTTTGGCTAGGTAGATTTCTGTCAACTTGACCTTTCCAAGCTCGGTAGGTGGCGAAACCCACTGAAACGTCAGCTTCATTGCAATGAAAAGCAAAATAACACCTCGTGATTGCTCTACAAAAATATAATGAATAATAAGTGATTTCTCTATCCTGATCCTGACTATTTATAGCATTGCAGTGAAGTGAACAATATGGAGCAGAACGATGTGGATCATAGTGTGATACGTAGTAAAGCGATCACGTTACCCAGTTGTACGATTTCATTTTCATATGAAAGAACATCTGGATCGTTTAAAGAAATCTCTCATGAGAAGATAAGTATATAGTAGACTGTAGCAATCACGTTGAACTACAACACAGCTGTTTTATACAAGTGAAGATTACTACGTGACAAAGCTATATAAATGAGGGATCCTTGACCAGAAGTATGGCACCAAACTAAAATTTAGGCTTTATCAAAATGATGTGGTCCTGGTTTTCGTAAAAGATTCGATTCCTTGCAAAGGATAGCTCATTTACTATCTTGGTGATCCTGTGTGTATTTTTACGGAGTGCTCCTGTTTTCGAGAGCCTCGAAGATACTGAACAATTCTAGAATTATAGTTGGACTAGTAGATAAAAATAAATTTTTATGGCAAGAAATCTACGATGTTTCAAATTATTATTGCATCGTAGATAAAATGAGAATGTGGTGTCTGTTATTACGGTTGTAGTGAAGATTATAAATATTTTAGATGTAGACAATATCGATACAGCATTCTGACATGTGGAAAACGGAGACACATTTCGAAGCGCAAAGCGTACAAGTGTTGAATGGGAGCGAACTCTCCGACGGATAGTTTTACGTTTTGTTCCATTTCGCTGCTTTCGTCCAATGTAAACCTTGATGAGTTATAGTTGGTGCACTGGGTGCTCTCCTTGGACTCGTCGATGTCGGAGGTGAGAGCGGTGTATCGGTTTTTCATAAGTTTTCTCATGAAGCCTAGATATCTTCCTCTTATATGAACTTTGCCACTAAATGATGAAAACTGTCGATTCGCATCTATTCGAATAATTTAAATAGTTCTCCTTATTCCTAATCCGGCACAAGCGAGCACTATATTGCTTGTGTAATTTTCATCTTTAAATCGTCAATTAAGAATGCTACGCACTTATTGTCATACAAAATTAGCCCTGCTATCTATAGCACGTTTATCTTTTGTTCTCGATAAGAGGCTTAACTGACAGTCTGAACTCTGAAAATAAGGACAGGATTTGGAAAGCTTTGCGACATCGAGACGTTAAATTGGTAGAAACGTTTGAAAGTTTCCACCAGTGATCTAACGGTAGACAGATTTTTCAATTTCAAAACGTCTTATGGGTACAGATTATTTTTTGTTTGTTGTTAAGGATTTTGAAAGTTTTCAACAGTTACAGTGAATCGAAGGGAAACAGTGAGCACGTATTCAATGTCCAGAGCATCGTTTATACCAAAAGTAACAAACTGAACTAATATTTTAGTGACATAAAAATGGCCTGAATTCAGGTCCACTTGGCGGATCCAGCTCTTTGGTATCATATTGCGCCAACGTCCAGTAGCAGTAAACAGTCCGACGTTTCTCGTCGTTCAGTCCGGTTATTTGACGGAAATTCTCTAATACTCTAATACTTTAGTCGATAGACACACATATATATACACACACACACAACACAGACACACAGACA